AAGCGAATTCTCAACCGTAGCAACCAAATTGCACAACGGTGGCGCGGCTGGTGATCCCATAGCGACTCCTCGTTCTTGGCGGAACAAGTATCCGTTGATCTCGAAGTGACTGTTGTCAATGACAAAGTCGAGGAGGTGCCGGAGATCTTGTTCACGAAAGATTCGAGGGATCTTGGTTTGACGGCGCCACTTTCCTTTGAACATACGGCGTCGATGATCTGACTTGACTTCGTACACGGACCATTGCGAGGAACTGCGAAGGCCAACAACTTGATCATATCGATGGAGAAGCACTTGAAGCGCCTGATGGAATCGTTCCGTAGGAATGGACGTGAAGAAGCCTGACAAGTCTTGCGACACCAGGTGGATGTACTCATCAGGATCTGCTTTTGACAGTGCTTCCCACAGCTGCTGGATAAGTTCTTGTACCGGGAGTTGACCTGCAATGTCGGGGAAAGCCGCCTTGGTGAGTTCAAATATGAGCGCACCGAAGACCGTGAGGAAGGGAGCCGCCCATGTGCGAAAGAATGAAATGATGGGTCGAGCTTTCTGCCAGTCCTTGGTCGGCTTTGGAAGGATGCGCGCTGTGGGCAACGGTGCTTGAAGTCGAAGTCCCCATGCGTATCGTTGACGTAGGAGAGAAGGTACCGTGGTTACCACTTCAGAGCGAAACGATGCTGCGGATTCGCGGCAAAGTGAGAAAACATCCCCCGCGCAGAATGTCTTCCGCATCAATATGGCAAACAGGGACGGGCACACTACATGTGCACGGGAGGGAAAATGATCCGCTGGGATAACTACCCATGAAGACAAAGAGGCCACAGTGCGTTGCAACGATGCCGATGACCAATAAGCCTGATCTTGGAGGTTGATCCGATGGGTCTCCATTAACTGAGCCACGACCGGTTGTAGATCTGGAAGTAGATCGGAACCATGTACATGCCAGCGTCGAGCAAGTTTGCGAAGTTGCGTGGTGAAACGTTGATGCAATAGGTCGACATCACCGAAAAACTGATCCTTCATTGAGGCGGCCATGATTTCCACGTTAATGTCCGCATTGATGCGAGAAAAGTCATCCACCATTACTGCGTGACCATGTGCACGGAGTAGATGGTGGTCATCGATGTCCAAACAGCGACACGGAAAGGATGTGTCAGGCGTCCATTTGCGCTGCCATGTGCGATAGTTGTATATCTTGTCGCCCAATGTGGCGCTGCGGGTTTCCACAACCCGGATCTTTGGAATGAAAAGAGAAGGGAACAGATCCCGATGGGAAGCAATCCAGTTTTGTAACCATGTGCCAAGTAGAGCTTTCCAATTTTGGACATGTAGCGGCGGCAAAAGTAGCTGTGTCAAAGTGGAGGGTGGTTGTAGCCGTCGTTTGCGCAGTACCTGGGCGAGAAGCTTCTGGGCCTTGGAGCGGAAGGGTTCGTTGACGAAAACTGCGAGCCGCAATAAGTAGTACAGCTGAGTGGGAGGGAAGGCGGCCGACAGTAGGTCACGCATGACTTGGAACGACGCTCCTGTATTCGATCCCAGCTGATAGAGAATCGAGTAGTGGGCTTGAATGTCATCCAGTGCGTCAGGTCGTAGTTGTCGTTGGAGATCCGGATGTAGTCGTCGTCGAAAGCGCTTGTGCAAGCCGAGGGAAGTGGGAGACGACAACGAGTGGCGTCGAAAATCAACAAGATGTTCCCGGAAGCCCACCTTGCGCAAGATTCTGTGTACCCAGGGCGCATTCAAATGCGGGCGTAGCAGGTATTGCCATTTGCTTTCTTGAACCCACACCGAGGAAACTGGAAGTTTGATTTCCACTGGTACAGCACAGAAGAGCCAGTAAGTATTGGATCGTTTCCAGTAGTGAAGCGCCGGTTCAAAGAAGGCATGCCGTCCACGAAGTAGTTGTAGAAATTTGCGACTGCGTGAGTGTTCACGACGTAGAACATCCTGATCAGTCGCCCCAACATAGTATGGTGTGTGCCATGGGGAAAGTCGAATGTAGACGCACGGTTGTTGGTGATGACCTGGATCATGTATGAAGTCGTAGAGGTCAGGAAATCGCGCCCGCAATGAGCGTAGATGTCGCGTGTCAGCGAAAGTTGAGTGCATGATTTCACACAAGAGAGAAGTCTTGTAGAAGTGAAGGACTTCGAAGAACGGCGGGAAGTAGCCGTGATCCTGTGAAATGAGACGTTGTAAGAAACTGATCAATAAATAGGCAGCGCACCGACATCTGTGAAGTTCGTACCTGTTGGCCACGGTGTGCTGAGAGTTGGACATAGCGCAATTCGGAATCTGGAGGGCTATCCGGACCACAACTAAGACCTCGAGGATGAGACCCAGCCACGGCAATTGTGTGATGGATTCGTACTCCTCAATTGGAATCGACGGTGGTGGTAGTCCAGGGAAACAGTAATGCCAGCACGTCGAGAATGTGGTCAACGAGTGCAGAAGGTCGTCCAGCGACTGCCATTGTGCAACATCATCATAGATTCCGCAGCGGCGAAGGTCATCCAACATGGTGAGATGCAACCAACGAAATCTACCACAAGGCGGCGACATGAATACAAGCATCGCAGACCATTACACAAGAGGCAATGCAAGAACAAGCAAGTACAAGATCAATCATGTGCAACGCAATCATTTGACGGACGAGTTTTCACCTGGACTCATCCGTGACATTGTTGCCGCTCCGGGCTCATATGAGAACGAAGGTCGTCATGATGCCTTCTCATCCACAAAGCAGGCGAGCGGTCACGATGAGGTGACTCAATGCCTTCTCAGTGAGTTTGGTAAGGTACCCGGGTTCAAGACCCCATGATGCTGCCATTGCACCGAGTGTGGGCGCATCGCCCTTCGGCATGCGTTGCCTGGCTTGAAGAAGCTGCGTCGCCATAGAATCTAACGACTTGTTGCCGTTGAGCCGGGACGGGTGATTGGCCCACTTAACCAGCGATGCCAAAGTGGTTGTTGTGGGTGCTTGCTTGAGGAAAAGGCGAGGTTGGTCACTGGTCCATGTGTAGTACTTGACAACTTCATCCGGCGTGCTGTGCATGGTGAGCAACTGTGACTGCCGCCGCACGGATGACGACACTCCGTGAAGAGACTGCATGATCCGAGGTTGCACCACGCTATCAAACGACTTGCCATCCAGGGCGGCCGCGCTGGCTGTGGGAAGGGAGCTGGCAGGTGACGAGGATGGTGTGTGGTTGACCGGTGGCGGTGTAACCAACTCTGCATCATCTTTCTGGTTTGTCATCGTGGGCGAGGTCGATGCGCGAAGTGATGCGGAATATTGAGCTTGGAGAAGTTCATGTGCACGATTCAAATCATTGAACTTCTTGACCATGTCATCGGTCTGGGCGGCAGGTGCGAGAGAGGTGTGATGTTGTTGAAGAAATTGAAGTACCAGGTTGGCCAAATGGTCGTGGACCTTGATGCGCTGATTGAAGTCATCAATGTTGAGACCCAGCGTGTTGGCAAGGTCCTTTTCCAGGGTGAGCAGGTTGAGTGACTGCGATCTTCGTAGTAATTTGGAGCAGGTACTCCAAAGTAAGGCCTCAGTGCGGGTGCGAAAGCCTTCCCACGTCACGAATCTGCCGTGTGCAAATGGCCTGAGTAGCCAGTTGGTGAGGCCCCCGTGGATAACCTGAACCAGGCGTACGTCCCTAATATCCATGCCTGACATGTCGCGAAGGTTGCCATGTGGAGTGTTGGCAACGGTCATGGGCAGGCTGAAGTTGTAGAGTTGATTGACATCAAACATGCCGTCTCCAGGTGTCCAGTCAGGCGATGGAGTAAGCCAGGCTTTCTGAGGACGAACCGGTAGAGCTGCAGGAGGTCCAGGTGAAGGTGTAGGTTGGGAAGTAGTGACCGGTGGTGGCATCATTGGTGGCATGAACTTGGATGGCGTGGGATCAGGAGGGATCGGCATCATGTAGTTGATCGCCGGGTGTTGGAATTGCTGTGTGGGGTTGTGAGTCGATTGAAAATTGATAGGCACCATCGGAAAGTTGTTAGCAGCATTGTAGCCGGAGTTGTGTTGCCATGAAACCAAGTTGTTCCAATCCATGTTCTCCGAGACCTGGTTGTCATTGTGCTCACGTCGGCGTGCTTTGTGAGCTTGAGGGGACGGACTCCGATCACGTCTGCGTCGAGTCCTGGATCTATCACGATCATCACGTCGAGACATGGGGACGCAACTGAATCGGAATTTGCACACTTCCACCTTGAGAGAATCAGACCCGACAACATTCAAATAAATGCAAATGCAAGTTAGCGGCCCTCAACTGCAATGGTCGAGCGAAATGTACAAGGCAAAGCAAATACAAGTCAGCAATCGACAACCGCAGTGATACGAGCAACAAGTTCAACCAATGGTCAGGGTAGGCAATGAAAATCGGCAACTATCAACTGTGGTGAGACGTCGCTATGACCTGACGGCTTTCTTCCCTTCAGTGAAACCTCGTTCCTGGTTAAATGTGAAATTCCGCTGTTCTATGATACGCACGTTGAGGTCAAATTTTCCGACAGAGCCGGCCCGGGGTCACACAATGGGTACACCCGAGGATTCCCCACGAATGGGGTGTACACACTTAAACTCCAGATGGAGAGTGCTAATCTTTCGAGTACAACTGATGAGTCTCGAGACAACTGATGAGTCTCGAGTACGATTGATTTTTCCAAAGAGGGGACCTTGTTGGCAGGTACGTAGCTGAGCGTCCTCAGCTACTTCCCTTCCAGTGACCTAGCTTCGTTGGATCAGGTCAGTCACTGGAAGCCTGATCCCCCTGCTGCGAAACCGAAAGGGTGGTGACAGGGCATTCTGTCACTCCGCACACACACACACACACCGACACCACACGGAACGCAACAAACAAACAAACAAACAAACAAACAAAGCAAACAAACAACAGGCACTTAGACACGCGCACACACGCACGCAACTCCCACTTCCATCGCCCACCCTCCACTCCCCCCGCCACTTTTGTTGTTCCTGCCTTCTTCTGGGGCGTCTTCTCCAGGTTCTGGGGATCCACCGGGTCCAGGGAGAACAAAGGCTCCCGGTGCGCCGTCTTCCGCACCTTCAGCGCCAGCAGCAGATACTCCAGGTTGATGGCCGCCGAGGGCTCCAAAGTGGCCGCCACCTGCCCCCAGAGAACCCATGAAAACATAGCTCCGTCCGGGGTCCCACCACCAAGCCCGCAACATGAACGCAAACATACACCTAGATGTGTCTGCGTTCGTGTGTGTGTGTGTGTGTGTGTGTGTGTGTGTGTGTGTGTGTGTGTGTGTGTGTGTGTGTGTGTGTGTGTGTGTGTGTGTGTGTGTGTGTGTGTGTGTGTGTGTGTGTGTGTGTGTGTGTGTGTGTGTGTGTGTGTGTGTGTGTGTGTGTGTGTGTGTGTGTGTGTGTGTGTGTGTGTGTGTGTGTGTGTGTGTGTGTGTGTGTGTGTGTGTGTGTGTGTGTGTGTGTGTGTGTGTGTGTGTGTGTGTGTGTGTGTGTGTGTGTGTGTGTGTGTGTGTGTGTGTGTGTGTGTGTGTGTGTGTGTGTGTGTGTGTGTGTGTGTGTGTGTGTGTGTGTGTGTGTGTGTGTGTGTGTGTGTGTGTGTGTGTGTGTGTGTGTGTGTGTGTGTGTGTGTGTGTGTGTGTGTGTGTGTGTGTGTGTGTGTGTGTGTGTGTGTGTGTGTGTGTGTGTGTGTGTGTGTGTGTGTGTGTGTGTGTGTGTGTGTGTGTGTGTGTGTGTGTGTGTGTGTGTGTGTGTGTGTGTGTGTGTGTGTGTGTGTGTGTGTGTGTGTGTGTGTGTGTGTGTGTGTGTGTGTGTGTGTGTGTGTGTGTGTGTGTGTGTGTGTGTGTGTGTGTTTTCATCTGAGTGTTGCAGACTTGCATTTGATCATACATGTTTCGTACGTGTGGGGTCACAGGCCTGCAGCCACGCATGATGACGCATAAAGACGCGTGCGTCCCCTCCCAGAAAAGAATCGCAGCACATGATGTCTTTTGAGGAACCGAAGCAGGGCAACATTGCGGCCCCCGGGAAGTCCCAACCGGGAGATGACATTTGTTTGTGGGCTCATTTTCTAGACAAGAGCTTGCACTAAGCATGCGGGGATCAACGCGTTTGTTGGGTGTTTTGAGGTAGTGGTTTAATTAAGTTGGGAACCTTAAACCCCCCATTGCCCCCATGGCCAACAATTGCCCCTCCACCTGATTCTTCCAGCTGGCCATTGTGCTAATAGGCTGCTGCCGGTTGGCAAGAACTCAAACCAGCGCGCAAACATTGAGCGCTATGCAGCCACTCGCCCAACGGCGAATCCTAAGGATCCAAGGCACGCTGCTCATACCCCAAAGTCCAGCCATGAAATGAGCAACGCGACAGCCCAACCGAGCCTTGGCCATGCCAACGACAAGCAAGAAGAAGCAACAAGCCACTCGTGTCAAGGAAGGCGAGAGAACCATACCTAAGAAGCCTGATGTGCCACTAGAATGAAATACGCCCTTTGCTGTTCGCTTTGGCCGTGCCTTCACAGTGCGGGAGGCCTCATCCAGCACCAGGCAGCACAGGCCCTCGGGCGCCGGGCTGCAGCCCATGCGCTCCGCCAGGCTCTGGTTCTTGGGGACGCTGTCCATGCGCCATCCGATGTCGTACTCCTTGCGGTTCCTTGGAGCGTTGGTTGGCGATTTTGGCCGTCAGTCTCCCTGAAAAAGTTGGGCCCTGAAGACGAAACAATGGCTATGCCAACAGCACCTGGAAGCAGAACGCCGCTTAATCTTACCCGACACGGCAAGCAAAACGCTACGAGAAAAAGGGGGGCCTTGTTGCAGTCCACCATATAGCGAAGCAGTAACTGACCTCTGGAAGATTGCATTTGTATGTTGAACGGTTGACTCCCTAAATTATACTAAAGGTTGCAAGCAGGAAAGCCAAACAAAACATGCACTTTTCGCTGACTTGTTGAAGTCAAAGATTGTTGTAACCATTGTAGCCACTTAAAACTGTTTGTTAAACAAATTCCCCCTACCTGCAGTACTTTTCGTGGGCAGCGCGGGAATTTGTTGCTCCCGAGCAGCTTCAGCTTCTTGATGTTCTCGCGCTTGGCACGGCAGTCCTCCTCACGCTGGCGGTCCTGGCGCAAGCTGGAGGCAAGGGGGTCCAAGTGGCGGGTTCTCTTTGAGTGCCCCCCCTTTTTTGGGGGTGTCTCAAAGGGGCCAAGAGGAACACCACATTTTTGGGGGGTCCCGATATTTCGACACCTACGTTCATTCCACTTGTATTTCCCGGCCCCCTTAAATGGAATTTGTTCGTCCTGGGCCAGTTCGCACCCGTGTCACACCCATCTCCGACAGATTTCTCTCAGGAACCCTCCTGGATCAACACCTGGGCCATGCACTCTGAGTGAACGCAGCCCTTCTTGCCCTCGCGGCCCTGGTAGGAGAACTCCCCCACCGGCATGTGGCACTGGGTGCAGAGGGGGATGTCCTCTCCCTGCCGCGCAAACACCGGTTTCGTGCTTCCCCACCTGACGGGGTGACCCCTCCCTCTTTTAACGGGGCTGGGATCGCATGGCTCAGATGCGAGCGAAATGGCACCTCAAAAAATCCTGGCATGTTCGGTGATTTGGGCACCACGCAGGTGTCTGACAGCGCTGACCCGTTTTGCACGAGAAACGCGTTCTGTAACAGTGCCAAATCCAGTACCGGGGGCACTTGCTCCTGGCAACTCCTCCCGTTCGCCCCTGCCACGATTGCAAGCTGCTCCACGCAGCGCAAGCATTTCTTCGTTCCGTGTCATTGTTTGCTACCAACCGGAAACATCCTGAACTGCTTGTGTGAGAGCACGGGCTCTGCACTCTGGACCGGGTTCGTGTCATTGGCTTTGGTGAACTTGCCACTGCTCGCAAGGAGGGGCTCGAAAGATTGCGCAAAGTGGTTTTCACCCATGACTACTGCCTCGCTTTCCAAGGGGATAGGGCTCCATGGGATTGGCTGGCCGCTTCTCGACCCGCCTCAGAGTCAACTTCCCAAAGCTTCTCCTTGGACTTACGCTCCTTGGGCTTGAGGGCCGACTCCAGCACCTCGCGCTAGCCCAAAGACAGCAACCCAAACATGGCAGAAGTTGCGTTTTGCAACTCGCTTCATTTCGACACAAGGCCCTAGCCGCTCTCCAAGGGAACCTGCAAGGCTTGGAAGACTGCAATCTTCAAAAGACCCTGTCGACATCCAATCCTGGAAAGAGGCCGCAAGGCCTTTGCCAAATGGCCTTTTTGGCCAAGGCTTGGCCGTTGGGTGCTGGCATGTGGATCGTCTGCCTGTGTCACCAGCCATGTGGGACATTGCTAGCCTCCAAGCTTTGCCCACACTGGAACACAGGAAGCATGAAAATCCGGGAGTCACCCCAGCAGGCTTTTCCCCAAACAGCATGGCACGAGTCTTTCGCGCCTCAGAGGACAGCTTCTCCTGCTGCGACTGCTTGGGCACACCGGTATACCAAGGGAAGGCCTTGCGGTTATAGCCTGGCGCAAGTTCCTGTCCCATCAGCCACCAACCGCCGCAGAAAAACACGCTCACTTCTGGGCGGCACACCCTCTACACAATCATTGTTTGGCGCAAGTAGGTGGCAGAATATGGTAGGGTTATGTAGGGTTGCAGCATGGGACAGTAGATGGCACAAGTAATTCGCTTATTTTCGCCAGTCATTGAAGGGGAGGATCAAACCAAGATCTGGGAATTGCAAATTTTCCCCTTGGTTTTTTCACCGAGGCTGCCGCCCCCGGGTCCGGGCGGCCTGGGTTCGAGCCATCGCGGCACTCCCCGAACTTCTCGGTGTACAGGTTGAAGGCGGCCTTCTCGTCCTCCGTGAGCTCCTTGCCCACCTCGTGGCCCGACAGAATCCGGCAGATTGGTGGCGCAGCCCATGCATCCCTCCCTGGTTCGAAATTGCTGTGTGCACAGGCCTTGCCAGCAATCAAATCAGCCTAGAAAGCGATTCTCAACCCGCACCAGTCCAGCAGGCTTCCATGGTTGCAAGTGCTCTTTTCCATGCAAGGGGGCGTAGCGGAAAGTCACCTGGCAGGATGTTGATCAATTCTTATCATATTCCTCGGCACCCTTCCATGGAGTCAGCTTCAGATAGCACCGGCCCTGTTTCCATGATCGATACGCAGACATCGAAGGAGAAATCCATGCGCGAGCAAGCAATCCTTCTGGTAAGCATCCCTTGATAAGGAGAGCCTGGGACTTTCCCCTTGCTTTCCAAGCCGGAGAATGGCTGGTTGATTCCCATCCCCATGACACGAAGCAAGTTTGTTTTCCTAAAACGCGGTTGTCCACGACCATGGCCATCCGCACACGAATGGGCATTCTTCGCTCCCAAGGCCCAGGCGGCCACAGGCGCCTCTGGCTCTGGCACCTCGTTCTCCAGCAGTGGAAGCTCCTCTGGCTCACTCCTTAGACACAAACTGAAGGCGAACCCAGGGCGCTGCTTGTCACCTCTCGGGCCAAGCATTTTGCCCTGGTAGCCGGCTTTTCCCAGTGGCCGATTTCAAACAGCATGTCAACCCACCACCTTTGCAGGGGGCCTGGTTTAAGGACAAATCTTAGGCACAGTCCGGGCACATTGAAGGAACCCTTGCTCCATTTGCTCCAACCTTAGCCATGTTGGTCCAGCTTTGCGTCTGCCAATGGCCAAAACGAGCTCTAGATTTGGATGACTACTTGGGTTAATTTGTGCGATGGCTGATGACTTCTTGCAATTGCCTCGCTCGCTCCGGAAAACGCACCTGCTGCCAAGCCTCGCGACCTTCTGCTCACACTCCGCCACCTCTGCCACCTAGCAACACACTTTGCGACAAAAGGCGCGCCTTTAGGGGCAACACGTCGTGTCCTGCAAACGAACATGGAACGCCGAAAAGGGTTTCCCCCAAAACGAGATTCCTTGAATCTACTTGGCCGAAATCTGGTCGTCCGTTACCCCGCCCACCCCCCCCCCCAAAGCTTCCGAATCAGGCATGTGCGAAAATGGCACGTCTAAACAGGTAGCAGAGTGGAATCGAACCCCCTGCCGCGCTCCAATAAACATACCTGGACCTTCAAACGTACCTGAAATGTCTGCCTCCCCTGTCAATCGGCTGGTTTTTGCAATTCGTACCTTGGTTTCTTGGCTTGTCCTCTTTTTTGGACCTCGAGCAGTTTTTGGAGGCAGGCGGGCTGTCAGGTCCTAACATGACCTACCCGAGCAGAAATGGTGTGCAAAAACGCCCGCAACGGCCCGCAAAACGAGCGCAAAAACCCGCAAACGAGCGCAAATTTGAAAAAGTGCTCGATTGAAAATATAAACCTCGGGCACTTTTTCATTGCTCGGGCAGAAATTGAAGACTCGGGCACAAACTGTGTGTTCGAGCAGGAAAAAGCGAGCAAAAAAAAGGTATCAATGGAAGGTCCAGGTATATATGCAAGATGCATCAAAAGCCTATTCGAGGCCACTTCGGATCTGGAAAACGGACCTTCAGCATGGGCTCACTACACTTTGTCCAGAAGAATGATGGTTAATTAGTTGGGTTCCCTGGAAATTTGAGCGGTGCAGCGGGTGACTTAGCTTCTGCCACTGGACCCGTGACAGGTGCTAGATGTTGCTCTTTACGCGAATCAGCACACAGGCAGTTGGCTCCATCCACCGATCCCTACGCTTCCTAAGAACATCACCTCACTGACAGGACTCTGCCTGTACATAGGCCCGCAACGACCCACAAATGTGTCGAAAGCTACCACGGAATGCCTGAAATCCCGAAGAATCGCTACCAGCCGTGTTTGTTTTCTTTGCTCTGTTCCGCGATGTTCCGCGAAGATCAAAGCCAGCCTCCTCCTTTGTGGATGCCCACTGCGAGAAGATCCCACGCTTTGTCTTGGCCTATCGGGCAGCCCACAGAAAGCAAGCAGAAAGTGCGCCAAGCAAGTCAAGCCAAGCAAAGCAAGAAAGATCAGCAAGGCCAGGCATGCATGAGGCCTCTTGCGTCACGAAGACAATTGAATTGCTTGCAAGCATCAGGAGCCCCGGGGCGGGGGGCGCATGCGGCATCCCCCCTAATTCCATATTGTGGAAAGCTGGGTTGTTCGAACAATGCAGTACAGGCAATCCTTTCAGCAACTCCATGCTGCCGCTCATCTGCCCACGCCAATTGGCAAGTGCTTCTGTGCCTGGGTGGCCGGCTCTGCCTGCTTCACGAGCAGTTCCTGGCACAGGAGTGCTACTCCAAGTTTGCTTGCGCTTGTGCGTTTGGTATACTTTTTCCATCTTTTTCCAAAGGACCGCTTGTGTGCTTAGCCCCTTTTGGAAGACAATTTTCTTCTTGAACATGGATGGTTCCTGCACACTTCCATGTGGGTTGGAGAGTAACGAATTAACTTCGGACTAAACTGGAGGACTGTAGGACCCAATTTTAGTAAGAACATGAATCATTCTAGCAGGGTGTAGAACATGAAGAGTAGCAGAATCCTCCGGATTTATCCGAAGTCGACATTGAAGGAATATGGGCGTTTTCAAAATAGAGAACCCCTAAAGATGGTTGGTCTCCTTTTGGTTCCCTTTCACACATGAAAAGGGGGGTCCTCGTGGAGGCCCGCTGCTTTGCGAGATCCGCCCGCAGAGAATAAACTGTCCAGACTCTATTTCATACTTGGATTACTATGAACTGTTAGGAGGCCCGACAGACGCTAGACCGCCAGGAGGCCCGACAGACGCTAGACCGCCAGGCACTGACCCAGGCTGAACCGGTCCTTTCCGCGGAGGTTGGGCGTCACCCAGCCCGAGGTCGGGCCGGAGCCTCGGACCAGCTCATAATGCACCCGGCCGTCGTGCGACTCGATCTCCTCGAAGGCTGAAACCCGGGCGCGAACCCGGAGTCCGGAAAAATCAAGAACGTGTTCATCACCTGTTGCTTCCCTGTTGGGAAATGAAGACTCATATTTTTGCTTGTTTGACATCCTCGCGGTTTATTTTCGATGTTCTTTGGGTTTAATCAAATGATTTTTGCGTGAACATGTTCCCTTTGAGGCACAGTGAAACGGTAAAATCCCTATTGCAAGCAAGGGGGGATGCGTCTATTTTGGGAGTTGGCACCCTCTTTCCAATCGTTGAACACTACAATCCTCTTGGGAAGGGTACCCTTGTTGGGTTTTGAAACTGAAATCAAACAGAATCCAACGCCCATTTTGAGGGCTCCCCAATATTGAGACAAACCCAAGTGAAGCAACCACATCCAACCACAACACCCTGGCCAATTGCGGTCAATCTCCCGGGTTCGTTCCTCCACCTTCAAATTTTGGGCATCCGCCGAAGCACTTGCGGCATGGGCCGCCATGAAACTAATCAAAGGCATGTCATAGTCATAGAGTCCCGGACAGGACTGGAGTTGCGGGCTTGCCGGCAGGAAAACAGCAATACTATCCGCGTGCCTCAATCCAACCTCCTCCCAGTCAGCTATCATGGCCCTAAAAAGTCGCCTATCACAGCCGTCAGCGTGTGGGGTTTGTTGAGCTCATCCCTCACGCTCAAGTTCAGGAGGGAGAGCAAGCTCCCCAACCCGTGCGTTGGCCCTTGTGCATCTCCTGCACTACGCCACACCACAGCCACACTGCCACCCATGGCTGAATCCCCCGAACCAAAGCTGCCATGGCCAGGCAAACGCCGCATTGGAACTTGACTAAAGCTTGGCCCCGACCCGTCCTTCACGACGGATCCTGTGGCCAGCCGACTGTCCGCGATGTCCGAGCTCAGGTCGCACCCGCAACGCACAATGACGCCACCCCGCTCCGCGCCGCCAACCACCTGCAAACAACAGGCGGCTTGCCAGGTGTCAAGGGGGCAAAGTTCCCAGGACCGTTGCTCGCAGAGAGAACCCATGACGTTGCTCAAAAGGTCAGATACTACTTATGATATTACCAACAGTCCCGCAACTGCCCGGGAACATTGTCAACCAATGTCAACCAATTCTCTCAGCCTACGCGCATACTTGCAGGGTGGGCGGGCCGGGCAAGTGGATGTGCCTGTGTCATCCCCTACTGCCATCCAGTCAGCAAAGCCCCGTTCCCCCCCAAAAAAAGTGCGAGGTTCCCAATTGAAAGAAAGATCAATTTGCCCTCCCTTCGATGCTGCGCCCTGCCCCTCGCCGCCCGTCCTCCCAAATGAGAGCCATGCTGAATCACCAGGTAGCTGACTTACGGCACCAGGCAGTCAAACGGCTTTGCGGCCGGCGCGGGCGTCGTTTCTTTGCCCCCCTGACGCCCAAGGCAGAAGAGCAGAAAGCCCAACAGCGAGGCCTGCATCTCTTCAATGTGCAAAAGCGAGTCGAACCCAGTCTGATTTCGCTGCAAACTGCATTGGGACACCCTGCTTAACCGGGTTTAAATCATTGCAGCTTAAACCCGAGCCCTGGCTCCAAAGTGAGATGTGATTACAAGGGCGAGGTGTTAAGATTATGCCAGCGCATAGCTTCGCCCATCGGCACCAAGCAACACCATCCCTGAATCATGAGAGAGCAAGCAGCAATCCTGAATCTACACTCGCCCTCGGAAAGTGTGAGCACACCTTGAGGTCATGTCTCGACCCATGTCAAACAAACAAACAAACAAACCCGGCCAAACTGATTCGTCTAGTTGCGTCCTAGAAAGGCTGGCCTCACAGTCCGTACAGCACAGTCGAAGAACCGCTTTCACAAGATCGGCTGTTCAAAATCGGAATTGAACCAATTCAAATTCACAACCCTTTTGCCCAGTCCAAGGGAATTGGGTCTGTTTTAAAATGACGGACCCTTCACGATGGGGCCTAAAGGAAACCAAACAGGAACCGCAGAAATGCGCAAATGTGGAAGCACGCGCGCCCGTTACCCTCTTTTATGCAGCCATGACCTTCGGCCCATGCCAAGTGAGAAAGATGCCACTGGCCGCATTGCGCTGAGTTCTGTGAAAGTTGGCTGCACCCTAAAACAGCGCCCAAGCCCTCGCCATCCTTTGCTCCGGAAAACGCCGAAGTGGATTCCAGCCAAAAGTTCCCATCAAATGGCTCAACATTCACAGGGCTGAGGGACTGAGGGATTGGGCAGCTCATACTTGCCGCGGGTTGATGCGGAATCCGCTTTCGAGATATCTATTCGGGAAAGCTCACTGTTCAGGCAGCCTCACTTGCCCAAATTGGACTCGGAATTAAACGGTTCATCTACTGGGGCCTGGGCTAAATACCGAGCCCCCCTTCCATTTGATTAAGTCCACTGGTCGCAGTATTGACAGATTCCCTGAAAGCCAACAGGAAAACAACACATAAGCAAATAGAACGGGTCAAAAGGTTGACTTGCCTTGGACCAAGCAGCAGGTTGTACGACTTCTTGCCGCTCTCCTGGAAATCCACTGGGCCAACAAAGGCCGTCGGCCCTGAGTCGCGCCTTACCACGCCACCCCACTTGCCACCTCAGCGCCGAAGGACCTCCCCCCCTTCCATAGACATGCGAAAACCCAGCCAGGACTCGCGCGTATTTATGCGTGTTTAGAATTGCCTCATGGCAAAAGGTCGCTGATGAAGGACCTCTGAGCTGCCCGATCCAGCAAACAGACTTTTTGAGAAACCGAGGGTCATTTATTGAATACCTACCGCCTCACCACACCGCTTGCAATGCCCCAATCGTTCAAATGGAACCGCAAGTAGCGCGCCGACTCGATTGCTTTATCTTGTGCCAAATACCGGGTTCTGCGGGGGGAAAAAAAAAAACATCTACTCTCAGCCAATTATCTGCCCCTCGCGCCCCTCCGCGCCCCCAACTTCAATGTTGTTAAGGAATGCTGTGATGTCTGAAGCCAGAATGGGCGTTTTTTTTCCGCAGGCTTTGTTAGTATGGGCCACATCCAACTTTGAAGTTGGGGGGTAAGGGGGTCAGCATCTGTTGTCACAATGGATTTGGGGGGATGGGTGTTTTTTTTGTTTTCCCCGCAGAACCCGGTATCATTCAGTGACCTACTATGATACATGGACTTGAGCCAATTGCCATGTCGGGTGGCAAGGCTCTAGGAATGCAACACTGCTCATCGTTACCAAGGTCCTGGCCGAGCCACAGAAGCTTTGTCCTGTCACCTGACGGGAGAAAATGCCGCCCACCAGCTCCTGGCCAAACATCTCCTGGGTCGTGCGCACCTCCAAAGATCCGATCTGGTAGATGCGGAAGGTGGAGCCTCAACCACCGAGGGCCTCTGTCGTTGAGTGGTAGTTATTAACCAAAAGCCCCCCCCCCCCATGCCCCCCCCCCGCCCACCACCTTTGCGACATTGTTTCACATGGAAACCAAAGGGTAACCAGCCATTTTGGGGACAAAATGCACCGCAACCTCTAACTTCTGCCCTGGCAAAGCAAACCTTTGACATGAGAATGGGGTTCTGGAGGGCCTAAACCAAAAGTGCGGGAAACGACATGCGCTGGAAACTGGCCCCACAATTCTCCCAGCCTAAAGCCCAATTTGTTGAAAGTGAAAGAAAGTCCCCGTGCAAAAAGGCTCCTCCCCTTCCCCTTGATTACCCCGACGATCTGCCATCCAAAGCGCCATCCTCGGTCTCTTTCTTAAACTCCGGGGAGGCCGTTGGCAGGATGTCCTGCCAGGTTGAATCCCCCTGTCGACAATCCATACATCTACCCTTGCAACATTTAAACAGCTGCAAAACCACCCATTCCCATCACCTGTTGGTTTTTCCCTGAACTACCTCAAGTTTCTGCACCAAACAAAAAAAGCTTGTTTAGATGATCCTGGTCCCCATGCAATAAACCTAACGTGCAATGATGCTATTCGCGCCCCCTGCTCGTACATTATAACCTTTTTGCCAACGAAGGGAAACAATGGCATGTGCACAAGGGCCCTTGACAGTCCCATACATCTATGACCTGGGGATGAGCAACCACTCTGTCACCAGAGCCCGAAAATCAAATGCTACCAGGTGTTGGTCCAGTTTGTTAGGGGGCCAGGGCAACTGATCTGTGAAACCTGCAAGTTGAATAGAGGGCCTGGAAAACACAAGTTGGACGGGTATTTCAGGGGCATTTTCAGATGGATGGCTTAGAGTGTAAGAGGTGAGATTGGGGCCCGCTAACACCGCCATCCCCTTGCAAAAACAGTACATGGCCTCCACACCTCCTTATTTGCTCAAGGGACCCCCTGTCAGGTGCCACGCTTCTGAGCAAGTGACGCTACTTCCCAAAGTGAACACAATGGAACTTCAAGAAATTACCCCACAGTGCAGGACCTTTGTGAGTGTCATCGCTCGTTTTACTCCTGGATCGGCGAGCTCGTTGCGAGTGAGTTGGTGAGTGGTTTGTTTATCCCAGAGCCACAGGGTGACATCCATGCCAACTGTACAAGCAGGGGGCGCGAATAGCATCATTGCACGTTAGGTTTATTGCATGGGGACCATGTTTCCCTTCGTTGGCAAAAAAGCGGGATAATGGTGCAGGAGCTTGTCCATGCCTAGTGGCTGCTTAGCACCCGACCATTTCCGCACAAAAAAGAAAAACAAAAAACGCTCCGGTCCTTTGCCAGCACCGCCGCGAAGGCGTCGTCGAAGTCCACCGGCACCATTTTGGAAGCCTCTGGCGCCTGACGGCTGTTGGTCTGAAGCAGCGGTGACAGGTGTCCTACCTGCTCCTTGGGGGTGCTGTTGCAAAGAATAGCGGGAAGGCACTTGGAACCTCAAAAGCTCCATGTTTCTCTGCCAGAGCTGGCCGGCCGGATCACCTAGGCAGTGGGAAAAATGAAATCCTGTCGAAATGGAGCCGGTTTTTGACCACTCGCTGATAAGCACAGCTCCCCTGGCAAAAGGATGAATCGGTCATAGCCCATGCCCCCATGGTGCTCCTTTTTCACTTTGCCAAATGAATATAGCGAAGTGTGACACAACCATCATCTTGGCCACCGGCTTTCAGCCCAAGCAGAATCCAGAAAGGGGAGCCCTAGCTTGACACGTCAAGTGGATACCTGGGTAAAAGTAAGCACAAATCCGAAGCAAGCAAAAAGCTGATCCTCCAGTAAGGGGCTCTTCACAGCTGAGCTTGTTTTGCACCCCGAATCGTCCAAGCTGCTCCCCTGAAGATTGGCGCCAGCGACCGTTTTCATGTGGCCTTTCAAAATAGGCCGAAAGGAAGGCCCCATGCCAATCGGCCCACGCGAATCGAAGCGGAATGATTCAAAGTAATTGGATTGTGCCTGGTCTGGCCAGTCAAAACCATCCCCAACCCCCCAACCCCAGCTGTACACGGTTGCGTGTTTGATGCAAACAAAAGAAACTAGTTACTCATCCAAATGGAAAGGGCCCTCCCCGCCCCACTCCGCCCCGGCGCCCGGGTTCCCCGGGTGTGTGACCCGCCTTGCCATCCTTCTCCACCCGAAAGCGCGAGGTCCATGACCGGAGGAACTCAGCCCCGGGGTTGCCCACCTGGATACCCGTCCGGGTGTGGCCACCACAATGGGGCCCACCCTTGTTGGAGTGCCCTCCTTTCTCGGCGGCGCCAACAGGAGACCGCTGATTTTGAGGGGGCCCACTTTGTTGGCAACACTCATTCGCCAACTTAAAAGGTGTGGGTGAAGAAGCGTAGGGGGGTCCTTGTTTATTGACCCGAGAGATGAAACTCGACGGGCGGAAAAACCTCAAACCAGTCGGTTGGTGGACAAAGGGCCCAGAAACGGGGAGCGCCCTTTGATTCGTGAATGGAAAAAGAAAAAAAACGATCCTGCCCAACGAAACATGATCAAAGCTAAAGCTGGAGCGAAGCTTCCGGTCCCAAAAGCCCAAGAGATCTCACGTTAACGCAACGACGAAGCGACGCCTGGAAGGCCCTGTCCAGGAATTGCATCTTCCGGCGCTGGAAAAGCAACTGCTCCTCGTTCACCAGGCTCCGGAGTTTCCTCGAAAGATTGCAAGGCTCCATTTTGTACGCAGCCAGTGCATGTTGGTCCCGACTGTTCAGTGGCACCCCCCCTGGTGTGGTGGTCCTTACAGTAGGGGGTGCTCCATACCGTGTAAGAAGGACCCTTCATCATGCTTTTGGGGGGAAACGCCCCTATTCGTCCAAAAGGAAGCAGCCGAAACTGACCATTGGCAGAAGGGGTGCATCCATCGACAGCCCACCAAAGGAAACCAGCGAGTGCAAAGCTCACCGTCTCGCTCAGCTCACCACGTGAGTGAAGCAAAATCTTCGAGCAGTTCGCCAAAACAAGAGGTACACGGCATTCGCAGCAAGGACAAATCCCTTTAAACGGCCATGAAACTGGATTCTTCGATCCTCCCCAAAACGTAGAGTATAAGGATCCCTGCTGTTGTGGCTGGCAGCCACACCACCAGCGCGGCTGAGCGAACATCTGCAATCTCCAGGAGTCAAAATCACCTCTCCCCAAGTTGTTCAATGGGTGTTGGAGGTCCGGCAAAATTACTTCAAACATTTTCAACCAACCATCTGGCTCGCCTTTAAGGGGGAACCACATGGTCCTTGGCCAAATCTCGAGCTAACGGCTCAAAGGGCTGGGCCCAACCTGGTGAGGAAACCGAATTTCGCCCGGGTGTCGAGGTGTACTCCATGGAAGGGTCTGGCGGCGTGAAGCGGTCGCCCTCCAAGACTCGGTCGCACTCCGGGGATTGGAAGACCTTCAACCTGGGCGAGAAGTCGACGGTCTGGCGCTGGAAAGGGACAACAAAAAGGGCTGCTGGCTAGGAAAAATGAAGGAAACCCAAAAGGGCACAAAGGACAAACAAAAAGGCAAACAGTTAAAAGGTAAGCCTTTGGTCTGGCAATGCAGCAGCAGCTCCTCGTGGTCTTTGCCCAAGCCTGCGCAAACCAAGCGAACGTTCAAAAAGCCCCAAAGCCCCAGGAAGTTTGCGTGTGCGTGCACTTGTGCAGCTGGGTAGGTGGGTAGGTGGGCAGGTTGGTAGCTGCCGGGACCCTACTTCGTTTTCTGGGCGCCTATTTGACTACAGGAGGCTTGCAGTATGCAGCGCAGGGTAGGAGTGTGGGGGTAACAGATTTGTTCCTTGACAAGCGAGCTAACTATACTCGGTTCAATGGCCGAAGGTCACTATGTATGTGCGCAGTTCATCTGGGCAAATGTCCATTTGCTCTTGGAGCTCAATGAACAAAGAATGCAAAAGCCATACTCTGATGTTCAGGACCTAAACTAGCCTTCCCAAACAAAAGCCACCCCTGATTATTGGAGTTGAACAGTGGTTCGGTCAGGTAAGCCTGGGCCGGACACAAGCCCCTCTACCAAAAATTCCCGCAAAACAGCCCGGAACAGGAGAAAGGCCGCCAGGCGCCTAGGGTTTGCGTGCATATCCCCAAAACTCGATACCGCGTGCCTGGATAGTTGCGGTCCTGCAGGCTCCTGGCCCCGGAGCGCCGAACCCTGCAGCATCCCGGAGGTTGGTCTAGGTTTGGGCCAGGGCTAAGGATTTCTAGCGCCGGCTTGGGGTTGCCGTAGGCGCAATGCGATTCCCTCCCAAAACAACAAACGAAGGGAGGAAACTCGTTGTATGCAGTCCTTGGGGAGTCTTTTCTTTGTGAGTGGATCGTAAAACAACCAGAGCATCCTTTGCCAGTGAACCCCCCAAAAAACTTCCAGCATCCCCCACATCTCGGGCTGTTCATTCCCTTTGTCCTTCTCTCTTCTTCTTCTTCTTCTTCTTCTTCTTCTTCTTCTTTTTTTGTGGGGGGGGGGACAACTTTGTGACTTTCCTTTGGCCGACTGTTGGCTTGTCCAAAACAGCAAAAACACAAAATCAACAAACGGGTGTGTCTGGAAATAGGGACCCCCCAAAGAAAAACAGGAAAAGAAGACAACAATGACAACAACAAGAAGAATGAACATGCGGCTGTCCTCCCTGTCCTTTTGGTTTCCCTGTAACCCGAGGTGGAAGGGGTGCCCTTCAAACAGAACGCCTTAAGCCCGTCGGTCCTGAGGAAGGCCCGGCCCAGGGTCACCTTGGCCTCCAGGGAGCCGCGGCAAGCACCCAGGCGCTCGAAGAGGTCTGGCTTGGAGAGGTCGAAGTGCTCCAAGTTCAGGTCCACACCCTGCACGTAGCGTGGAACAACCCCTTCCGATATCTAGCTGCCTATCTCCAGGTCCTTTCTGGAGTAAAATGGAGGGACGTGTTCATCAGCCAGTTGCTGATGAATCCTGGGTTCGCAGGAGTAGTTTCCTATATTATCCTGCCACACGGTAGCAAAAGCGAACCCCAAGTGTGGGGCTGACCGCCTTTAGTGCGGGAACCCACCACAAAAAGGGCTTGCCACTGGCTGGGACGAATCATGTCTTGGTAACAGACCCCTTTCCATAGGCGGGCCATGTCAACTTTGGGCCAATCCGCACCGTGCGAAGCGGTGGGAAACCGTATGGTTTGGCACACAGTTCTCTTTGCAGAGGGTCCGGCCAGTTGAAAACATGTGGGGAACCATGTTGTGCTTAGCTAAACTCATTTGCGATTCCTTTTGAAAGGGTCCGTGGTGGTTTCAAGTCTGAAAACATAATTTGCTTGAGAACGCATGTTTTCCAGTTTCGCCCAAACCAGTATATACTTTTGCTTTAACAAAACTCATCTCAGCTTCACTTTGAAGGGGTGAAGGACCTAGTTGTCTGAGCCATTTTTGCCAACGCTGCACTTGAAAGGGGACATCCTGCAAAAATTGTGCCCAAAGCATGGCTGGCAATGGCTGGCACCCTTTCGAGGGCGCGCAAACCCTGAAGCAGCCAGGAGTCTTGCCGAAAAGGCCTGTTGTGTCTGGGCAACTAGTGCGGCTGCTTGGTATCATTCCATATCATTCCCCAATGCAAGTCCCAAAGCGAATCAGCAATCGTCGACGTATTCACAGGTTCCACTGGCACAGCTTTTGCGGGTCCCAACTAAACAACCTGGCACTTGACTTTAGAAGGAAACCACCTCCGCAAAAACCAAAAACAAAAAAGTGCCCACACCTGCAAAGCTTCAGGGATACCCAGTGAATGGTGAAGCCCGTCGAACCCATCGAACCCACCGAAGCGCCCGGTGCGATGGGCATCCCGCGATGCGCCTGGGGCATGGGCGCCATAGGCGCCATCGCGGCGGCGGGCGCCTCCGCGCCGGCCCGCGCTCCGATCTGGAAGCGCTGCGGCATGAACCTGCGGAAATTGGCATGGCTTAAGGTAAGAGGTGAGGTGCTCTTTCGAAATAACAGGGGACACCTGAGTTCCTTCTTTGGTTCTAAATGAAAAGGGGCTTAACTGCTCCCATGTTGGTTCCATCGATGTTCACACAAACTGAATCCGAGGAGGCCTATGCAAAGGGGCCTTGTCATCCCTAAGATGCCGAATGCCAAGGCGCATGGGCCGCCCAGACTGGCCCAGCTGCATGCCCGCCTGCCAATCCGGCTGAACAAGTGTCCGGGGATGGAGCGTCTCATCTGAGCTTCTGAGCTTTTGAGCTTCGGAGCTTCTGAGCTGACTAGCCAGAAACGGTTCCACTGTTGCACAGTTGCACTGTTGCACTTTTTGGGGCCTCGCGCAGGAAAATAGGACACCCACCCACTCAAACGTTTCAGGATCTGGTGGCTCAGAATTGGGGACGTGATCATCCACAATTCAGATGATTCGGCTGGCGTACGTGACGCACCCAGCTGGGATTCCCCAATTCTCTAGTCATTTCCTCTCACCTCACACCTTGGGCAAACACAAAGAGTGACAAAGAAGCAAGATCCAAAGAATGTGTGCATCTGCCAAAGAAATGCCAGCGCAAGGCTGCGGGCATCTGGCTGGCTACCAACAGGTGGCACACGCTCGCTCCTACCGTGGAGAATTTGTGCTTCTTACTAGGGGGTTTCCACTGGCGTTTGAAAGCCCACACGGATTGGCTGCCTTGCGCCCAAACCAGGGGGTCCCCCAACTCCAGAAGAGACAAGATGAGACAAGCCAAGATCGAAAAGGGTGCTCCCAGCCTTAGGAACACCGAAGAAACAACATGAAGAAACACACCCACGCACGCACGCACGCACGCACAATCCTCTGCCTGACGAACCCAACCCTCGCCGGCCGTTTGCCCCTGGGCAGCGCCTGGCCCTGAGCAGCATGCCGCTGGGCCAGCTCAAAGCGGTCTAAACCAAACTGGACGCCCCCGTACATGGCGTGCAGCTTGCGCTGAACCCCTGTGTACCTCAAACGTGACCGCCCTGACGACTCGAATTGGCCACGGTGTGCTTGTCTGTGTTTGCGGTTGCTAGATCAGTGGGTTTGGTTGGTCGCTTGACTTGCTCGTTTGTTTTCTTCCTTGCACTGAAGCGTCCTAGAAACAAAGACAAACAAACAAAAAGAATGAAAGGAAGGAAGGAAGGAAGGAAGGAAGGAAGGAAGGAACGAAGGAAGGAACGAAGGAAGGAAAGACAAAGGGAGGGAAGGGAAGGGAAGGAAAGACAAGGAGACGAGACGAAAGGCAAGGAATGAAATAAAGAAAGAAAGCCCAGTAGTTCCGGATTCAGGACAAGGTCAAATCGAAAAGGCCTTCTTGCCTTCTCGCACATCATCTGCACGTACGTACGCATGGACGCAATACAACAAATCCCCATATGCGCAAGTATGCCAGCACATATGCCTGTCTGCCGATTTCCGCCGTGTCACATATCGATCAACCGGCCATCCCTCAGCCGAATTCGTGAGCTGCCCCGCATGTTCCACAGCTGCGGGATCTCAGGGTGGGCCTGGCGCAGTTCGGAAATGCGGTTCAGCAATTAAAGGAGCGAACCGTCCTCAATAAGGAAACCAAACACAAACCCACGGCAAAACATTTTGGCACACACCCATGTATGGGCACTGTCCGAGCAAAGGTTGTACCAACATCCAGCCCATTGCCATCTGTGGTTTGGGGTGGAACTTGATGACCCTGGGCCTGGGAATCAAACCATCTGGAAATAGAAGTTGATTGAGAGGTGTAAAAGGGATACTAGTTGGACAACAGAGAGATGAAGTAAACCACCAGGCCCAGGGGTCCGCGTCGTAAAAGCGCACACCTCCTACCTCCGCAACCCAAGGCCCAACCCTCGATGATGACGAGCCGCGTCGAGATTGGCAAGCGTCCTTTTACCGCTAAGAACCCCGTCGGGAAGTGATTACTTGAGCCAAAACGCCATAGGCGCATGGCAGTGAAGTTAAAGTGATCTATCCCAAAACACACCATTGATTCACCTGGAAAATGTCCCAATTGGAAAAGTACAAACATGGCTCTGGGGGTCACACCAGCTGCCTCTGGCTGGGTCCCCTGGACGATCTCGTCGGCCAGGCGGTACCAGGAGCTGTCAACCTGGAGTTGGTGCCATTTGCCGGGTTCAGGTCCTTAAAATGCGTAGAACACCATTGCAAGAGAAGCCCTTCCCAAAAAGCAAGACGGAAGAAGGGGTGGCATCCACTGGGCAACCCAGACCTTGGTGTTGGAGTCCACCAGGTACTTGGCCATCACCGATGCCTTGGCCAGCTCGCGCAGGTGGAAGATCACGCTCTTCCGTTCCGCGATGAGGTCGAAGTTCCTGGAAGCCGCGCCGAGAAGAAAACAAGCCTCCACCCCAAACTCGTATTTGAACCCTTGCCCAACCCCCACCAAACCACCAAATTAGGGGGAAGCTGAATAGTGGCTCTGTCTTGATTGGTGGTTTGGACTGGGTTGGAGGATAGGGGGCCGCCTCTAGAGGACTCTTTAAAACCACCAGGGTCAAATCCCCAACCAGCCATTGTGGGTGGCCTGAAACAGCATCTGTTCGAGGGAAATCGGGAGAAACAACAAATAGCGATGATGCCCTGGTGGCTTCCCCAAGGAAAAAACAACACCGACGACGACGGCGGCGGCAGCAACGGCAGTGGCCAGCCACGGTTAACGGCCACGGCCACGGAGCAAGAAAACGCGAGTGGTCATAGACAGCACTCTCAGCAGAAACCGACTTTGGAGCATCGAGCAACTTTGCTGAAGCCATGCACTTTGACCTTCCCAACTCGATGAAGAACCCCTAGTTGCAATCGGCAGGCCGCCAAAAGGAGAACGACAAGTGGAAAAGCGAACACCTCTCTGGTTTTGCTTCGCGCTGAGCTGGAAGCTTTGATGCTCCCCTCTTGTGCTTGGCTCAGCCCCTCTCCCAGTTTAAGCCCCATCTCCCGGCATGGCCACTACCTTGAGGGGAGGGGTGGGAATCCCTCACTTCCATTTCTCTGCCAACCGCAAAGTGGAAAATAAGAAAGAATTACCACCAGGTGGGCAGGGGCCCTGGGCTCGGGCAACAAAGGCCCGGTTTTTGGCAGTTGACTCTGAAGGCGATTTCCCACACACTAGAGGCCTGGTCAACAAGTTCAAAGGGTGTCGGGGAATCGAGGGGGGGGGGTCTCCCGGTCTCCCCTCGAGCTCCTGGTGCAGGCATCTGCGAACTTCTTGAGGGGGTGGCTGGCCCCCGTCACCGGCGCATCCTCCAGGCGCCCAGCCGCATTCACCGTCTGCTCCCTGGCCTGGGGGCAGGCAGTCCAATCGTTTTGGCGCAAATAAGTTTCCGCATGACAAGCCAGCACGGCACCTCGGCCGAGCGTGGTTCACACATCAGTGACCCTTCTGTTGGTTTTCAAGAGGAGGCAAGAGGAGACACAACATTGTCTTGGACCTGGCTGATGCCACGGGTGCTCGTTGGCGTTTGGGGTAAAATGGCCTTCTTGTTTGTCCCTGAAAGCGCGTCAAAATGGTTGAATGCCTAGCTCTAGCGTGTAAACCTCACCCCGTTCAGGTTTCCGTGGCAAGCGTCCTTGTAGCTACAGCGGGGCCCCCGCTAGCCCCACAACCACCCACCCTCCCAGAACCCAGCCCAGGCCCTCCCCAGAAAGGATTGCAGAAGGCCGCGGCTGTCGGAAGGAAAAACCACCCTTGGCGTCCCGCCGACATCCATGAGTCACCATTCATTGGGAAAGGGATTCAGTCCTCCCCCCCCCCCGGGTGAGAATCGACGCTGGCAGCGCCAAAGCCGCCTCCACACCCATCTTCACGAAGGGCACCAAGGTCTGGTCCAGGGACATCCGCACCTCCGCCTGCCGGAACAAAGCTTTGTCCCCCAGGGCCAAGGGGGGCACCTCTGGAAGGGCTGGGTTTTCTCACTGGCGTGGTTGAATTGCCGAGTGTCAAAGTTTCGGATGCCCTTTGATCTCTGTCAAAGACTTGTGGATCCTGTTTGATTTCGGGTCGATGCAAACAAGAGAACCTGATGCCAACCTGAAAACGAAGCGCCCGCATAAGTCCGCAAATTGTCCGCGCCTTGCGGACCACGAACCACTCGCGGCCCGCCCAATCCTCCTTGTTGCCCGACAGCTCAGACCAGTCGAAAACGCTCATCATCCCTGCAACCTGGAAGTGGATTGCGGGGCAGGGGAGTGAAGCAAATCTTCCGAATGGGACCCATAAGTTTCATGAGATGCACGAGGATCACGAGGTCACAGCTTTTCGCTTTGGCAATGTTTGAAATTTTGAAGCGAACTGCCATCCGTAGCCATTCGCAGCTGAGGCAGTGGCCGGCATGGTGTACTCCCCCAGCGCGAGCTCCTTGAGGAAGTAGTCGGCCTGGAACATGACGTCCCCCACGCTGGTGCCGGCCAGCCAGGCCGGTTCGTAGACCTGTGTGGGCCCGGATCAAGCGAGACAAAGCCGAGGGCTTGCCTTCGCGGCAAAGGTCACACGTCAGACGTCGGCCCAGTGTTCTCTTCTTACCTTCGCCCATCTGACTGAGCCGCAACCCCTGCAAGTAGAATTCTTCTTTGGTTTGGCACTCCGCAAAGTTGAAAAAGGTTGTGTTTGGCCAAGTGAGTCTTTTCTGAGTTTCGATCTGTGTGGCCCGCAGGCCGTTGCTCACTTGGTCAGGCCTCCTACTAAAAATAATGCGAGCAGCGGATGCATGAGTCCTCCCAACCTGCCCCCCCGCCCGAAAATATATATATATATAGTCTCATACCAACTGGTAAATTGAAGCTGTTGAGTGACGAGACAAATAACATCCAAACTCTTGCCTATCCAGTCCCAAAATTGTGCTTTTAATCCCTGATTCTTGAAAGCCAAACTCCAAAATGGAGCTCTTTAAAAGGAAGACGCGACCTCTCTGGCACCAACCTCAACCCTGCAAACCTACAACTCCAAACATCCTGAAATGCCTGGAGGCCTGAAATCCGAAACCCTACTTCGCATGTGTGTATATATATATATATATATATGTGTGTGTGTGTCAAGTTGTTGCCAGCTTTTGCATTTTGCCCACTCCTCGTCATGCCACAATTATGGTGACCTCTCAATGTTGCTGACGCTCGACATCGAAAGCCAATAAACAACAAATCCAAAAAACAACAACTTGAACTGTGTTTTCTTCGTGGCCTGCACTGGCGCTTTCCAACATGTCCACCTGACCTTTAAATCCGGCTGACGATTGAGATGCCAACCCGACTTGATGTTCGGTCGCGTCTTCTGCTGTCGTTGCTCGGTTGTTTGTCATGGGATCGCCGTTCTCAACAGTACAAAAGCGGCATTATGTAATCCGGCTTCATGCTTGAATTCCGGCTGCCGCCTTAAGCTAAGACTACGTTCACCACACGTCCCGAACCGCACACCCTCTCCCTCCCGCTCTCCCCGCCTTCTTCTGGGGCGTCTTCTCCAGGTTCTTGGGGTCCACTGGGTCCAGAGAGAACAAAGGCTCTCTCCGAGCCGACTTCCGCACCTTCAGCGCCAGCAGCAGGTACTCCAGGTTCACAGCAGCTGCCGGCTCCAAAGTGGGGGCCACCTAAGACAGGTGGAAAGGGCCGGTCTGTTTTCAGCGGGGGAGGGGTGGAGGGGTTGGGTTTGGGCTTCAAAGGAAACTAAAAAGTTTGCTTTAGTTGGAGGGGGTGAACAAGTTGGAGGAGGGGGTCAGGGGTGCGGGCCCCTGCGCCATCTACCCATGTAACCAACGGGCGCTTGCGGCATGCCTATGACTTAGAGCCACACGTGCTGTGTCCGCAACGCACGGGTGCTTGAGGTCGACTGGATGACTTTGCAAAAAAACGACTGAGATTCGCAAAAGACGCAACCGCGGGTCATCAAAATGATCCCCCTAAACAAAAACCGACCGTTTGAAATAGTAGGTCATATGACTTCCACCTGAGAACGCGAACACAAGCATGCTGGGTTGCTTGCAGGGGTGCCAACGCTCGCTCATTCATGCGGGCGTGCATTTGCTTGCGGTGGGAAGATGGGGGGGAAGGGGGAACGCGCGCTCAGTCATGCGGGGAACGGCTGCCATGTGGCTTCCCAACGCACCAAAACTTACCCGGCTGGTGATTGGAACCTCCCAATGTGCTCCAGATACAGCCCAAGCTTCACCTTCCATGAGGGCGTGGTTTTGTTCCCACGCTCTATGGCAAAATACTAGGAAAAACTCATCTGAAGTCTAATTAGACCCCTTTGGTGGACATCCACTACATGGGAACCATGGTTCCCCAACCAGTTCCAATTCATTTCATGGCCATAGTTTTTATCCTGGATACCTTTTTAGGTTTTTGGGGCCCACTAGAACAAAACCGAGGGGTATGAAGAGAAACCCATCAGTTGGCCATTGGCGTGAGATTTTGAAAACCACCCTTCACATGGCAGATTCAAAGGGACCCATCTCCAAATGTAGTTTAGTTTTTGGGAACCTTTGAAAACTCAACCTCGAGGGACCAAGGAACCCAAACAATTACGTGTGCATCCCCCCCGCCCCCTCGGCCGACCGGCCTTCACCGTCTTGGAGGCCTCGTCCAGCACCAGGCAGCAGAGGCCTGGCACGGCCTCGTCGCAGCCCATGCGCTGGGCCAGGCGCGCGTTCGAAGGCACGCCCTCCATGCGCCACCCAATGTCGTACTCCTCGCAGATGTTTCCGCAAGGGCGCGGGGCTTTAACTGGATCTGGTTTTGCAAAGCAGGACGGTTGTTTAAGGACCCCCCTTCGTCGGTCCTTTGTTGGCCTCCCTAAAAAAACACAGAGGGAAACATGGATGATGATTCGAACCCATACAAAGGGGTTGTAAAGGGGGCCAAAGGAATTGGAGAACCTCTGAAACTCGGGACCAGTACAGCAGGGGGCTTGACCCATTTCGCTTTCGACAGTGAAGGCTAAGAGGAAGCGAAAATAGCTAGTCCATCAGTGCTTTCCACATTTGCCATAGACTAGCATATTCAAATTTGTTGGCAAGTTGAACCCTCGGAGCCCGCTTTCCGCTTAAATTTTACCACGCCGATCTGCGCAGAGGGCCTCGCGGACAAAGAGCAAAGAAGTAGAAGTCTTCAGTTTTTCAGCCTCGACCACGCCGATGCACGCAGCGGGTCATGCGCGCACCGCAAAAAATCAAAAGTCCACATTTGTTGCACGTCAACCACCAAAAGCAGCTCGCACGGAGTGCTGCGCTGAAAAAAAAAAAACGTTTGCACATCGACCACGCGCACAGGGTCAGCTGCCCGATCGACAAGTTGGTGCAGGCCCTCAATCAAAGGTAGGTTGCACTTGTCGATCTTTACTTGCTTCCTTTCGCGTAAATTTACTGGACTGCTTCTCTAGCCATGCCCCGCAGAAAGCCTCCCGTGCAACTTGTTTAAGAATATCTGCAACTTGCTCGCGCAACTTGCTTTGCAACCCTCTCCTGTACCTTCCTCGTGCAACTTGCTTCTGATGTATGTTGCTTGTGAAACTTGCCCAAGAAATATCTCACGCCACTTGCTAGTACGACTTGGCTTGACAATCGGCACCGGATTTACTGAGGAACCCTTCGCAATGCTTGTGGGAAAAATGTGATGAATAAAATGACCCAAAAAGAGAACAAGGCGCTTGTTGTTGGACACTCAGTGGCATATAGACTTAAGCCCAGCAATTCCCCTCTTGCAACCACCCCTGGCTCCAAAAGGTCCCTGCGAGAAGAAACTTGCGTTTCGGGACCTTCAGCGGATTCCAGGCTGTCAAAACATGTAGCTCTGTCCTTGCGGCTCTTCAGCTTCTTCTCCACCTCCCGCGCGACACGCCGGTCCTCCTCTCGCTGGGCGTCCTGACGAGTGGAAAGGAAGCCAACTCAAAAGGCTGTCCTGAAACTTTTGGGGGTTCCACCGTGCTTCCAACCATTTGATAGAAAACCTGTTCAAGAGGACTGTAGCCTTCCAAAGCCCATTTGTCAGCAGGATTTTGGCGAACTCAATGGGACACCCGTTTGTCAGCTCACACCCGTATTCCTTTCACCTCTTCGTGGGAGAAATGACTCAAAGCCACTGGGAGCCAATGGGTTTAAAATACAACTTCCGAGCTAGGATCGCTTCCAAGCAGGCGGGAGGCTAGAAAACGACTCAAAGGCGCTCACCAATTCTTGGGCAGATCAACAGGTAGATCTCTGCAGCCCTGAGATGTCCACCAACAAAAGGAACGTGCTCCAAAGTGCAGATGTCCAAAGCTTGCCCACCCAAACGCACGCCCGAGCACGAAAGACTTCTCTTACATGATGCTAGGGAAATTGCGTATTTGCCAGGCATCAGCATTTCCCTCTGAAAAAAAACGCAAAGGACAAATCACACGAAGTGCAAGTAAGAGATTGCACCAAGCCCTCTCTTTCGCCATACTCCTCCACCAGGATCTGCGCCATGCATTCTGCGTGCACACGGCCGCTCCCGCCTCTCGGCTTCAACAATTGTTCTCTAGCTCTACTCCCCATTCTTTCCAAGAATCCTTCATCCCGGAAAATTGCCCACCCCCAACATGCGTGATATGTTCATTGAAAATTTCTCGGAAGGATCCACTGGTGCTTGACCTTCAGAGCATCGGCTTGACCAACGCACCATCTTGCAAAGCCATGTGTGATCATCCGGAGTACGTGGGTGGATTTGTTGGTTCCAGTTCCACTGATTTATGTACGTTTCTTGAGGGAACTTAGTTGCTGAAACAAAAGCAGCCACCAGCTTTGGGGCCCCTATTCTATTCTGACACAAACAAACAAAAACACACAAACAAACAAACAAACAAACAAACAAACAAACAAACTGTCAAGAGACGGCAAGGTGACGTCCCGTGGGACGCTGTGCACCGAACCCTCAAGCTTTAATACCAACCACGTAGAAAGGTGTATACGGACGATGCCGTTATAGCCGAACCCGTGTAAACGTTGTAAGGGAGAGGGAATGATAGTTACAACAGTAGTCCTGACAATGCGGCGCAAGCAGTTGTTTTGCTCTTAATGCCGATCACGTAGGTCTGCAGTCACACATCAGATCTTGAACCTCAATTGTGTCTTGAGCCAAATGGCGATCAATGGAACTTGGGAAGCAACACCAACAAGGACCTCAGAACAGCTACCCAATTTCGGCACGGGGCCTAGAGGGTTTTAACATCCCCCATTTGGGTCGCATTGTTCATCATGCGGTCCAAACACCACAAAACGTTCCACTGGCCACGGCTTCAACTACGAAATCGTGTCGTGCATTCTTTTACTTGCTATCACTACACCGTTCATTCGCTGTGAAACATGCCGGGTTCGATTGTACGAAAAGTGAAACATTCATCCTCCAATCGAAGCACACATCCATATGCAGGTGTATATAATACACTGTGGCCACTTCACTTGACCGCCAGTGAACATTCCAGCTGCCGCATTTGCGCATCGCGCAGCTGTCATCCATAAATGGGTTGGCCACAAAAGTCCACCAGACGCGCCCGCTTGTGATCGGTCTGCATATCTCCGGCAAAGAAACATCGGTGAGTAATCAATGCAAATCATAGCCATTCCAGATACCATGGACAATGCATAAATAATGAAAAGATATCATCTATAAGGTAATAGTTCCATCCATGAATATCCAGAGCGTCATAGTCGTCGGAATATGTAACCATGTACACATCCATTCATCTTGGACACATGAATATAAATCATGACATAAGTCGTTCCACCGAAACAGTGTCGATGTGACGCAAGTAACAGATGGGGACTGGCCCACATCGTACCGCAATCATCATCTTCACGAAGCATACTGTCCCCAATGGACAGCCTATGGGTACGTCGGCGGAACTCCTCGTCCAAGTTCTTCTGGGCTTCTCGTGCCCGGACACACTTCTTGTTGTAGTCCTCTGGCAACCAGTGCCCTTTCCGAAGGCACCAATCCAGCAGGGGTGTGTCGCATTTGTTCGGGTCGACGGCCGAGATGATGGCGCTCACGTTGACCGTGTAACCATGTTTGCCAAGGTTCAGGCCATCCCTCACGAATGATATATACTTACAGTTGAAAGCTAGTGCAAAACATCTGAAAATAATATCACCCACCGGGTGCACTCGGTCCTTGACCAGGAGCTTCATTTCTTCCTTGGTGACATCGAGGATTCTCGCTGCAATCCACAGCTTGTAGAATGTGTAAAGTCCCTCGCATTTGCACACCATCATACGAATATATTCGTCACGCTCCTCAACCGATCGGAAGGCTCTTGTCCGAACATTCTCCGACTGAGAAATCTTCGTTGTTGTTGATGGCAATAGTATACCTTCCTGATCGTGCTCAGTGATGTTGGGGTACCTCTTGAAATCATTGTGGTAAGGGCAGCCCTCTCTCCCCTCGAGCTTGGCATTCATCGTTCTCTCCTCACCACCCTCGAACATCCCCCACATCTTGGACATCTGGAGTGCGATAAATCCTGCCATGTACTGAGCCTCACGCGGCTCGTCAAGGCAGATCGCCATCCGTTGGGAACTTATAATGTCCCGTGACGCCAGATCGGTGTCGCGGTAATGCCAACCGCTGTCTTCTTCTTCTGACGCATAGCCGGATGTATATCCTTGCGTGTCCATGTCGTCATCTTCTCCCGGAACTTCCTCCGCTTCGTCTTCATCCTCCTGTGCTGCCGCATCGTGGTTAGCTTCTTCCTGTGCACGCCTGGCATCTCCAGAGACGTTGGGGTTTTGGTTGTCCTCCTCGTCATCGGATTTGATGTGAATGTAGTATCTTCCGATGGAGATCAGTTGTGCTTCGCATTCCAGGCATAAGCAGAAGCAGGTGGGGATCGCGGTCGCACATGATGGACATATCCGGCACCTCAGTCCTTCCCATGTCTCGTCATTCAGGATGACGACTTTGCTGATTTCGTCCCGGACCTCGTTGACCTGTGCATTGAACTCTTCCATCTTGTTGTTTCGATAGAGTTCGCAAGCACGATTAACCATGTCAACGATGTAGTGCAGATTATCGGCACCTGTCTCAGTCTCCGGCATCCTCTCGCTGATCTTTGCGACGTTCTGGAGGAACATCGCAGCCGACTCTTGGGAAGAGTTGACAAAGCCAGGGCAGATCTCGTTCTCCACACACTTCGAGTACGCCCTCTTGATGTCAGCGTACTCCAGGCGCTTCCCTCCGTTGCTTTTGCCAATCCAAATGGACTTGACCTCATAGAACGGGATCACGTCAAAGACCATGAAAGTCCCATTAGCCGCGACTCCAGCCCCATACCGCGCGAGGGTTGCACTGGGAATATAGATGATCGCAATCGGATCCCCTCTCCTCACGTTCCGTAGCGTTGTCTTCGTCGCCACGTTCATCTCATCCCATGGAGCAAACGCCCCGAAGTGCAGTGCTAGCCTGTTACCGCCATCGATTCCGCCGGGGACTAGCCCACAGCGTACGATGCTTGGCAGGTTTTCCACATACGTCACATGGAATGCTCCTCCGAGAGAATCACCCATTCTTGCGGAATACCTATTCGCCAGTGCGGATGAGCTCATGAATCCAAAATCACTGTGACCGGTTGTGACTCGGATGCACCAAGGTCTGTACCATCCATCGCATCTGTTGAACATCCTGTCGATGTCGTCCCGATCCACGCCAGCTTCGGTCATTTCCTCCCTGGCTGCCCTCGTGTCGTTCGGGTTCATGATGCTCGGAAACCTTGCTGCCAAACCTGGAATCTCGATTTTCTGCTTCCGGATTCCTGCCACTTGATCACCTCCATGATGCCCATGTATCGTTTCGCTCTCGTGGTGTATGGTGGGAATATGTCGTTGTTCCGGTCGTCAATGACAGCATCAATGTCGACCCATCCACCCTCGTCGCACCTGAAAGCACTTCCTCGGCAATTGCCGATCTTGTGTCGAAGGACTCTGCATAGGTCGTGAGATAGCTGGTTTGCTTGGTCCCTTGTAGTAAATACCGAGCGATCATCACCAATCCTGCATAGTGGAGCACCGTCGAAAGGAGCAATGCAGAAGTTGACACTCTTGCCAAGTTGCATCACGTCCACTTGCTCAAGGATTGCACCTTTGGGAAAGTATTTGGGGTCAACGATGGACGCATACGCCCATGGCAAGTGCACATCACTCACATCGCCATACTTCGGGATGTAGCACGGGATGGTGTCGCATCCCATCTCAAGCGTCTTCTTGAATGTCCTGTTGTCCCCGCACGGGTTGTAGGTGAGGTCGACGCCACCACATTGTAGCTCTCCTCCCTCAGCCGTGTCAGCCATCTCCACCAAATTAATGGTGTAGCTGTACATCTCAATTGTTTCTTTCCCTGCTTGTCCCCCTTTCTTTCTTTCCTTGGACGTTGATGAGGACGGTTCCTCCGTATCCCCCATGTCTTCATCAGATGAAACAGGGTCACTGCTGAGTAGCTCACGGAGCACCTTCATCGCCTTCTCATTTCCAGCAGCCTCCTCAATGTCCTTGCAGTCGCCGTCGTGGGCCAGGTTCGCGCACTTCTTACAGATCCCCATATCTCCCATGCACTTCTCCATTGACTCCAGGAATCCTAGTGCCGCTCTCCGCCCGTCGATCACTCGCTGCTTCTTGTCTTCCTTCTCAGTATTGGGCTGAGAACTTCGACTCGGGTCTGGTGCTTGACCAAGACCCTCATCTTCGCCCTCCGTGGCCTTTCTCTTGGACCCTTGTGCAGAGGGCTCGGTGATCAGGGATCGTGGATGTCTGGGCGTGACCTTGTTCATGATGTCAAGCACCTCCTTCGTGGGCACGCCGAGCTGTGCGGACGGTTTGTTCCGCTTTCTGTTCTGGCCCGTCGTGTGGGTCACGTTCCCAGCGAGGTGTCGCACTATTGACTGCTCGAACTCCCTCTTGATCTTCCATGCATCCTTCCACAGTGGTAGTTCGTGCTGGAAGTACGACATCACCTCAAAGAATCCCAACACCATCTCGACGACGTCTCCCAGGGATTCCTCGTTCGTGGTTTGTCCCAGGAGTTCATACATCGTTCCTTGGTCGAGCACACTCTTGATCCAGGACGAATATGCCACATTGCCAAGATCCTTGCCTATCACGAAGATGGACATCCTCTCCTCGACTCCCTCGGAATTCTTGCACACGATCACATCCCGGGATGCGCACAATTGCTTCCCGTGACCGTTGTTGTAGAACTGCGCTGCTTGATCCACAGTCATGCTCACGAATCCCACGTGAGAAAGCTCCTTCTTCAGCCTTGAATACACGAGCTCCCGTATGATCGTGATCATGGCCTGGATATTGTTGACGTCCACCATGAGGTTTTGAAGGTCGGGGATTGCCACCACGCATTCCGCGAAGAGGCGCGTGTACATTTTCTTCCCCTCGATAGACATTGCAATACCGTTCGTGTCCGCGTTCCAGTTCGCGCAACAGTTCACGCAAGAAGAGGGATTGTACTTCGAAT